GTGCTTCAAAAATATTAAAGTTATTTAGTGTGGAGAGAATATGAACACAAAATTGTATACCATTTGGCAATCACCTAAACAAAAGAATTCCACAAAAGATATTTAAATAAAATCAATATAGTTTTGCAAAAATAATAAAGGAGGTTGTCTTAAATTGTGAAGACAGTTTGACATATGCTTTGATCCAGATTTAAATGAAGATAAGCAGGCATATCTGGGTCTTATTAAGATATTACGATCACACGTTTCTCGATTATTCCTTTATCTTTGAAGTCTCGCTCCTAGTAATAAAATATGTGATGTAAATGTATGTGTGTTTTGCCTTAATTTTACAGTGTGAAAATTAGAAATATTTTAACATTAATTATTCAAATATTTTCCCTCAAGTAATTAATTTTGAAGCTATACATATGATTAATTAGTTTATACTAAAAATCATACTATTTGAAATTACCATAAATAACAAATATTGGATTCTTTTCATCATCTATTTTTCGTTAACAAAAGAAGCGGTAGATCCCTTATTGTTGCGGTAAGGACTACTAATCAAAGCCTTTAGTTAATAATGGTAAAAACTATGATTTTTGTTTGTTCGTTAATTTATCTCGAGATGAATTGTATAGTAACTTGTTTTTTTTTTTTATGGTGTCAAATATGATGTAGATTGAGATTTGGAATAACAGATCTGCCTTGTAAATCAATGAAACCTTGTGATGTGATTATTATGGTTAGTGGCTAAAATCATTCCCATAGAGTCTTGTGATCACAATAGATGATTTTTAAGAATTTATCACAAAAATTAAAAAAAAAAAAATTTTTAGGTTTTCTATGATAAAACATCATTTACCATACAATTAAATATAATTCAACCAATAGAAAATCAATCTACATAATACAAATAGTCAAGTTAAATAAAAATATATTTAATTTTGTATTGAAATCTAAAAAATTCATCTAATTTAAAATAAAAAATTTCTCTAGAAAATCATCTAATCTAATAGTGAGGGAGTAGTATATAACTTGTACATCCATGGATATTTGTTTGCCCGTTTACAAAGAATAACAGATTTTTTCGATAAATCAAAAGAAATTGCAGCCACTAACAATAACCCAACTCAAAGGAGGAAAAGCCAATTTAGCAAAATCCGGTAAATGTCTCCCACAAAACAAAGTGGAGACTGTATCATTGCAGTTCATATGCATATGATTTCATGGTCCATTATTATAACAATATAAAGTAACTGTGTGTGAAATTAATTAATATGAACCCACGTTTTATTTATAATATAGTTTCAAATGAAAAATTATAATGGCCTTGTACTTTTATTTTTGGTAAATGCTCGTAGCTTTATTAATTCCAAAACATTAGGGTCGGGTATTGGGACCCCAAAAGAAGGTTGTAGTTAGTTTGCTTATAAGTTTTGTGCTTTGTTCCATCATTATGCACCCGGAGTTGATAATGACTCGGCAACTTTATTACAGTATATGAGAAGGGTCAACATATAAATCACGAGACCATAATAATCTTTGTTTGAAAGAGAATTAAAAGTTAACAAATAATTTAATTGATTAACATTCCTCGGGGTTGGTGGCTATATGGTGGACTCAGATCCGCTATCTAAAATTACTAATTCTTTCGATATAACGGATCGGTAGACAAAAGGTGAAAATTTTTAATGTAATTTACAGAAGATTGAAACATTGTAGTATTATTTTGGAAGTAAGAAAAAGCTTATAATTTTCACAATAAATTTGTTACGATTTAGTTCAATTTAATAGGTTATCCTATTCAGAATCACAAACAGGAATTATATGTTTCTGTCAACCCCATTGAAAGAAAAAAAATATAATATGACTGAAAGATAAAAGCATAAATATTTGAGAAAAAGTTATAGATAATTCATTAAATAATAAATCAGAGATTTTGAGTGACGTGGTGTTGATCAGTTCTAGGGATCGACAACCTTGTGGCATTAAAGGAATAAAGGAGAAAGAGAGCGAAGTTGTTTACTCATTGACCTCTGTAGACTAGTACTCCCTCTATATAATTTTTAATGATTTTTAAACTTTTTACACACAAATTAAAAATTTAATTTTTTAATTTTTAACATAAAATCATCAATTCCAATACAATTTAATCAATAGAAAATTAATTTGCAGAATTTAAAGAGTCAAAAATAACAAAAACATAATTAATTTTACTTTGAAAACTTAAAATATCATCTAATTTGAGACAAAAAATCTCTCTAAAAAATCATTTAATATGATACGGAGAGAGTATTCATTAACGGTCACTCCCCTCTTTCCGATTAGTATTTTATTTATCGGATTCAACATTTTTTTTTTGGTTTATATCATAACTAGGTGAAGGACCCACATATATGCGGGTTTGTGATAAACTATTTTATAACCTGTGATAATATATTTTATGAGCCATGAAAAAATTAAATTCAAAAAATTTAAATTTTAATAAGATTTCTTTCACATAATTGATTCCCAAATTTTGCAAAAAACGAATGATGCACAAAACTTTAGCTTGCAATTTACAGGAAGCGAAAGAAAATACTACAACTAGATCGTCGTAATCTATCCCACCTATCGAATAAGAGAATAATTGAGGTTATTTTATAACGAAAAAGTTGAAATAAAAATCGTCGAAAAGATTATCGAAATTTAAAATTATTTGGTGAGAATATTAAGAGAACACAAAATGCTTATTATATAAATATAAAATATTATAATTTATGATGATTTGGGTATGTAAAACTAAATCTATTTGAACTAAAAGTTTTTACACATGTATTATTAATATTGAAAAACAATCTTGATATATATATATACAGATTTTAATAATTCAGTTAATAAATACAAATCTATAGTTTAAAAAGAAATAAGATTTGCTATGGC